TAATTTTCTCTTGCAGCTAATCAGCTTTCAATTTCAATTGTATTTTAACTGACCTTAGAGATTATTTTTCAATATAGTAAATCATATAATCTATTAGAATACTTAAAATTTTTTTTATATTATCCCATTTTCTCTGTAATTCCTTTTTATTTATAAAAATTATTTGTTTACAGTATCATGTTTACACATCTGCAGATTTTCCTAAATTCCCACCAATCTGAAGTGAATTTCTAAGTAGAGGAGACATCATTGTCCTTATATCCAAGCACAATTCAGGCAGTCATTGCGAGAGTCGTCACTAAAAGCCAAAGCTGTTTGATGAAGTTAAATAATTTTGATTAATCACTGCTGTCTTTGTGACGTTAGACAAGTTATTTCATCCTTCTAAAACTCAGCTTTCTCATCTACAAAATGGATATAATAATAATCTTTGCCATAGGTTATAATGATTAAATGCAATGATGTTTATAGATCTCTGAAATGTTTAGTACAGTAAAAATTACCTCTCTTTTCTTCCCTTACCCCTCTTTGCTTCCTCCACTAGAGTGCTTTCCATTTTAAATTATTAATGGTTATTATAATAGCAACTATAGCAAGGTATGAAATGATACTTCTGTACTATGTAACATTCTATATGGCTTTTAAAAAATTTGTGCTAAAAACATTAAAAATTTTTTAATTAAAATTACAACTTTTTAATTTTAATTCCAAATAGTTAGTATATGGTGTTAGATTAATTTTAGGTGTACAATGTAATGATTCAACAATTGTATACATTACTCAGTGCTCATCATGATAAGTACATTCTTTAATTCCCTTCACTCACTTCACCCATCTCTCCACCCATCTCTCCTCTGGTAACCATCAGTTTTTTCTCTGTAGTTAAGAGTCTGTTTTTTGGTTTGTCTCTTTTTTTTTACCCTCTTGCTCATTTGTTTTGTTTCTTAAATTCCACATATGAGTGAAATGATACAGTATTTGTCTTTCTCTGACTGACTTATTTTGCTTAGCATTATACTCTCTAGCTCCATCCATGTTGTTGCAAATGGCAAAATTTCATTCTTTTTTTGTGGCTGAATAATATTCCATTGTATATATACACCACATCTTCTTTATCCTTTCATCTATCAGTGGACACTTGGGCTGCTTCAATAATTTGGCTATTGTAGATAATGCTGCAATAAACATAAGGGTGCATGTATCCCTTTGAATTAGTTTTTGCGAATTTGGGGGGTAAATACCCAGTAGTGTGATTACTGGATCATAGGGTAGGTCTTTTTTTAACTTTTTAAGGAACTTCCATATGGTATTCCATAGTGGCTGCCTCAGTTTGGATTCCTACCAATAGTGCATTTTTTCTCTACATCTCTGCCAATACTTGTTTTTTCTTGGTTTTATTTTAGCCATTCTGATAGGTGTGAGGTGATATTTTATTGTAGGTCTGATTCGTATTTCCCTGATAATGAGTGATGTTGAGCATCTTTCATGTGTCTGTTGACCATTTGTATATCTTCTTTGATGAAATGTCTGTTCATGTCTTCTGCCCACTTTTTAATTGGATTATTTGTGGGTTTTTTTGGTCTTGACTTGTATAAGTTCTTTATATATTTGGATACTAATCCTTTCTTGGATATGTTATTTGCAAATATCTTCTCCAATTCAGTAGATTGTCTTTTAGTTTAATTGTTTCCTTTGCTGTGCAGAAGCTTTTTTTGTTAATGTATGTGGTAAGAACACTTAACATGAGATCTACTTACAAATTCTTACATGTACAATACATTATTTTTGGCTGTAGGTATAACTTTGTACAGTAGATCTCTAGAGTTTATTCATCTTGCTTAACTGAAACTTTATGCCCATTGATTAGTAACTCCCCATTTACTCCTTCCCCCAGCCTCTAGCAACCACCATTCTACTCTTTGATTTTGAATGTGACTATTTTACATAGCTCGTATAAGTGGAATCATGCAGTATTTGTCTTTCTGTGACTGGCTTATTGTATTTAGCATAATGTCCTCAAGGTTCATTCATGTTGTCACATGTTGCAGAATTTCATTCTCTTTTAAGGCTGAATAGTATTTTATTGTATATGTATCTACCATGTTTTCTTTATCCATTCATCTGTCAGTGGACATTTAAGTTGTTTCTACATCTTGGCTATTGTGACTAGTGCTGTATTAACACAGGAATGCTAATATCTCTTCAAAATCTTAATTTCAGTTCTTTTGAATGAATACACAGAACTGGGATTGCTGGATCATATAGTAGTTCTATTCTTAAAATTTGATGCACTGCCATACTGTTTTTCATAGTGGTTGCACCATTTTGTATCCCCACCAGTAGTGTACAAGTTTCAAATTTCTCTACATCCTCACCAACTCTTGTTGTCTTTTGGTTTTTTGATTAACAGCCATCTGACAGGTGTGTGGTGATTCCTCATTGTGGTTTTGATTTGCATTCCCCTGTTGATTAGTGATATTGAGCATTTTAAAAATATACCTGTTGGCCATTTGTAGGTCTTTGGAGATATGCCTTTTCAAGTCCCTAGCCCATTTTAAAATCTGGTTATTAGTTTTTTCTTTTCTGTTGAGTTGTAGGAGTTCTATATATGTTTTGGAGCTTAACACCATATCAGATGTATAGTTTGCAAATATTTTCTCCCATTCTGTAGGTTGTCTTTTTACTCTGTTGATTATTTCCTTTGCTGTGTATGAGCTTTTTAGTTTGATGTAGTTTACTTGTTTGTTTTTCTTTTTGTTGCCTGTGCTTTTTGGTGTCATATCCATGAAATCATTGCCAAGACCAATGTCATGAAGATTTCTCCAGTGTTTTCTTCTAGAGTTTTACAGTTTCAGGTCTTACGTTTGAGTCTTTAATCCATTTTGAGTGGAATTTTTTGTATGGTGTATGATAAGGGTTCTTTTGCATGTGGATATCCAGTTTTCCCAACATTTGACTGTCCTTTCCCCACTGTGTATTCTTGGCACCCTTGTTAAAAATCAGTTGACCATTTATGCATGGATTTATTTTTGAGCTTTCTATTCTATTCTGTTTATCTGTATATCTGTCTTACCTCAGGACTACGCTGTTTTGATTGCTGTATTTTGTAATATATTTTGAAATCAGGAAGTGTGATGCCTCTAACCTTCTCAAGGCTGATTTGGCTATTTCTGGTCTTTTGTGGTTCCATATGAATTTCAGAATTGTTTTTCAATTCTGTGAAAATGCCGTTAGGATTTTGATAGAGATGGTACTGAATTTGTTAATTGCTTTGGGTATTATGGACATTTTAACAATACTAAATTTTCTAGTTCATGAACATAAGATGTCTTTCCATTTTTTTGTTAATTTCTTTCTTTAGTGTTTTGTAGTTTTCAGTATACAATTCTTTTTTTTTTCTTACCTTACTAGTTAAATTTATTTGTAGGCATATTTATTCTCTTTTGTGCTATTGTAAATGGGATTCTTTTCTTAATTCACTTTTCAGATGGTTTGTTGTTACTGTATCTATAATGGCTTTAAAGATTGCTTTTGGTAATTGTTAGTGGTCACACTAGATTATGAAGAAATTAATAAGGATTTTATTGAGAAAATCAAATGACAGTGTAATTTTTAAATTATAAACTTTAAGGCACATTTTAATTGTTGTTTTGTAGAATTTCATTGGAGAAGTTAAAAATAAATTAACTTAATTGTTTCTGAAGGAGGAAGGATTTTTAAAATCTATTAAGATGAAGGAAACTACATTATATTTAGAATAGGTTCAGTTTTTGGGTGAGGGCTGGTGTTGAATTCTATGAATACTTCAGTATTAATAAGGTACTTTGGTGTCCTTGCTATAATTCTGAAAATATGTGAAATACTGCAATCCTTACCCTCGGTCTGGTTCTGCTCTTCAAAGCCCGCCAGGAATAAACAGAGGAGAAGAAATGCTGCCTGTCCATTTTATAGATTTCAGATCTTGAAAAATTCACATTGCCAACACAGCATCATCACTCATGGGTATACTGTCAGTTCAGAAAGTCCCATTCTTTGAAACGATTTCCCACAGTTCATATTCACTGGACATGATATGGCAAAATCATCAGAGCTCCATGCCTTTTTACCTTTGCTTCTCATCACCTCAACCTCCTTATTCTAGAGTGGCAGAACTCCTAGGATGCGGTATCCACGCATGAAGCGTCACTACACTGTTGTAGTTTCCCTTTCCTTATTCCCTCAGTCTAACCCCTTTCTACAATCCCATCCCATTAGCTGTGAAATAGGAGGCCCATTAGCGTTCAAACACTGTCATGGAACAGAGGAAGAGGTTCATTCCAATGTTGTGGACTATAGAATTTGTGATGAATGAATTCTAGGATGCTCGCAATAATGGTAAAGATTATTGTTACATGTTACACTTGGCTACATTTAGTTGTGTAAGTTAAGCAAGGGAAGTTGACCTGTCCTTTGTATTGTAACCTTAAGTATATCATAAACAAAATATTCAACTGTTGGGGCATGTATGTAAGAAAAGGGACAGGCTACAGAGTATAGGCCACAGATGTGGTTGTCATACATTTTTATTTTGTATCCTCATGGAAAATGTGATTTTTGCACTGCTGCTAAGCACATATACTAGCGACTTAGGTTTCACAATTTACATAGCTGATTGTTGTTTCACCATTTGCATAATTAATATCATGCACTTTTGTCAGCTATTAAAATTATGCATTTTCCTCCACCCTCATGACTCTGTTTTCATAGCTGACACAGTCAAACTCAATATGAACCAAACACAGCTTTTGTTGACAGTAGCTACCACTTTCATATGTAAACATTATAGGTAAAATTTCCTAGAAATTGTAAATAAGTTAAAAAAAAAAACCCAAATCTTAAAAAACTCTAAATAAAAGCCTCTTACTTCTTGGCATTTTTTGTTGTTGTTGAGTAGAATATTCTCTCTTTTAGTAGAAGTGGTTAACTAATGAATGACAGCCTGCTTACTTAGTTTGAGTTACCTGCATCCTCGGTTTTAGTGTTCCTTTTCTTGCTGATTTTCCTGGCATCTTTGGATGCTTTCCAATTTATTAGGAATTGTCTTTCCATATTTTTAATTTCTTTTCCATCGAGAAATTCTATAGAAAAATATATATGTTAAAAAATACTATATATAAATATATAGATAATATATATATTTTTGGTTTAAGGCACATGAACTTAAACTACACCAGAGGCTGAAATAAATATCTTTTAAAAATACCTTATTTATACAACTTCTTTGTTTTTGTTGAGCTTTTACTTATTTTTAATTATTTTTTTTCTGATTTCAAAAGGAATATGTGCTTATTATAAACAACTGAAACATGGTGAAAAAAACATAAGAAGACTCTGTAATTACTATACATAACTCTCCTTACCATCACTGACAAAGATAGTCACTGTAAACAATTTGATGTATGGTTTCCCTTCTAGGGCCACATGTAAATTGTTATTTTTTAAAAACAAAAATGTCATATTCAACAAAATTTAGATATTATCTATTCATTTCCATATTATGGTTATTATTCTTAAGAAAAAGCAAAATATATTTTATGTTAAAGTGAATAAGAAATTTTGTACATTTAGCATGGTATTTTATTTATTTTATTTTTTTTTAAAGACTTTATTTATTTATTTGACAGAGAGAGA